ATATTTATATTTATTGATTTAGTAATATATTTATATTTATATTTATTCATTTATTTATTTATTTCACACTCACTAAAATATATCACATTGGTAGGTTCCATCCATGAAATTAATTTGCTTCTCATTTTGTTGCTTCATGGCAGTTTCATTTCTCCTCAGAGATTCAGTTTTTTCACAATATTCAGGGTTTGTTTCACAATATTTAGCCGTTTCCAGTCCACTTCTGTCCACTTCTGTCCACTTCTGTCCACTTCTGGTTCCTCTGGTGGAGCTCAGCCTTTCCTTCTGTTTCCTTCCCTCTCAGCTCCTGTAATTGTTGCATTTATACTGTCTATTACATCATTTTCAGACATTATACGTCTATAATTTGCTATTCTTTTCAAGGGTTCTTGTCTGATTGTAATTTATGTAAGTTGTATTAGTTTTTATTTCAGTTTTTTCTTTTTATATTTTTTGTTAAAATGTCAAATAAATACTTCCAACCAAAAAAAAGTAATTTCATGTTTTGTTTTATTCTTGGATCAGGCTTTAAAGGGTTAAACAGCGAATGTAGGTCTAAATAAACCACTGAAAGCGTCCAAAATGATCAACGTCCCTCATATATTATGGAGCAGAGGCTCTAAATTGGTCACAAAATCAACACAAAATGGCAATTTGACAAAAAAAGAGGCATCTGAGGTGACCAAACATGCTTGGAAACCCTTTTTTTCTGATGAATTCCTTTATTTAGATCCGACCGGCTGACCCCGGAGCCACCATCTGTCCTCCTGCGTGCCAAGAGATGCCACACTGTTCAAACACCCCCCCCCTGTTATCAGAGAGCCCCATAATCCCCGGCCGGTGACGGAAAAAAGCTTTTTGCCTGGAAAAAAAAAGGCTCCTGAAGGTCCCGGTCAAAGTGAGCATGCAGGTCTGTGTATGTGTGAGACTTTTGGGAAATGATTCTGTATGAGAAATGTGAATAAATTATCATTTTTATTGCATTTTTTTCCCAATCTAAAGGTCCCAGACCCTGTCGTTTTGTGGGGTTTATAGTGGTGTTATAGTCGGATGTTTCGAGTCTTTCCGCCTGTAGGAAGCCAAGGATGGATATCCACCTCCGCCCATATCCAAGTCGGCCATTTTGATTAGGTCATGTGACTAGCAGCTTTCTGAGGTGGAAATGAAACTTTACTGTCTATACGAAATCGGAAGACAGACAATGTCCTAACCCTAACCCTAACCCTGACCTTAAACCTAACCTAACCCTAACCCTACACCTAACCCTAACCCTAACCCTAAACCTAACCCTGACCCTGACCCTTCATAATTGTGAGAAATAAATATTTTTTGGTTAAACTTATTTGGACTTATTGTACAAACCTACTTAACATCCACTATTTTAACATAATATTATGGATAGAGTTTAATTCAGTGTTTGCAAGATTATTTTAACTATTTTGATATTTCTGCAGCAGTGTCGTTCCCTGTTTGGCTCCTCCTCCTCTTCCTCCTCCTCCTCGTCATCCTCCTCTTCCTCCTCCTCCTCCTCCTCCTCCTCCTCCTCCTCCTCA